GGACACCACTACACACTGGGTACTTACAAACACAGATAAAGGACACCAATACACACTGGGTACTTACAAACACAGATAAAGGACATCAATAGATACTGGGTACTTACAAACACAGATAAAGGACACCAATGCACACTGGGTACTTACAAACATAGATAAAAGACACCAATGCACACTGGGTACTTACAAACACAGATAAAAAACACCAATAGATACTGGGTACTTACAAACACAGATAAAAAACACCAATACACACTGGGTACTTACAAACACAGATAAAAAACACCAATGCACACTGGGTAATTACAAACACAGATAAAAGACACCAATACACACTGGGTACTTACAAACACAGATAAAGGACACCAATGCACACTGGGTACTTACAAACATAGATAAAAGACACCAATGCACACTGGGTACTTACAAACACAGATAAAGGACATCAATACACACTGGGTACTTACAAACACAGATAAAAAACACCAATAGATACTGGGTACTTACATACACAGATGAAGGACACCAATACACACTAGGTACTTTCAAACACAGATAAAAAACACCAATACACACTGGGTACTTCCAAACACAGCTAAAGGACACCAATACACACTGGGTACTTACAAACACAGATAAAGGACACCAATACACACTGGGTACTTTCAAACACAGATAAAAAACACCAATACACACTGGGTACTTCCAAACACAGCTAAAGGACACCAATACACACTGGGTACTTACAAACACAGATAAAGGACACCAATACACTGGGCACTTCCAAACACAGATAAAGGACACCAATACACACTGGGTACTTCCAAACACAGCTAAAAGACACCAATGCACACTGGGTACTTCCAAACACAGCTAAAGGACACAATACACACTGGGTACTTACAAACACAGATAAAGGACACCAATACACACTGGGTACTTCTAAACACAGATGAAGGACACCAATACACGCTGGGTACTTCCAACCACAGACAATGGACACCAATACACACTGGGTACTTACAAACACAGATAAAGGACACCAATATACACTGGGTACTTTCAAACAGATGAAGGACACCAATATATATTGGGTACTTTTAAACACAGATGAATGACACCAATACACACTGGGTACTTCCAAACACAGATAATGGACACCAATACACAGTGGGTACTTACAAACACAGATAAAAAACACCAATACACACTGGGCACTTCCAAACACAGACAATGGACACCAATACACACTGGGTACTTACAAACACAGATAAAGGACACCAATACACACTGGGTACTTACAAACACAGATAAAGGACACCAATACACACTAGGTACTTACAAACACAGATAAAAGACACCAATACACACTGGGTACTTACAAACACAGATAAAGGACACCAATACACACTGGGTACTTACAAACACAGATAAAGGACACCAATACACAGTGGGTACTTACAAACACAGATAAAAGACACCAATACACACTAGGTACTTACATAAAAGGCTTGTTTAATTCCACCCAAATCGGCGATGTTTTCAGATTTTGTTAATTCACCGTCAATCTAACAAAAAAGAGTAGTAATACCAATACATGAAAACCAATTCGACAACATTGTGACCAAGTAAACAATTGGTAATACTCATTCCCCATACCGGCTGAGGTTGAATTCTGCAAATACTTCTCATCAGTTTT